TGCAATCTTTTCCTGAGCATAAATGGGTCTCTATAGCAGCCAGGCCCTTCCTGGAGAGAAATGGCTTATTCACCTCAACCTCAACCCAGTCAGACAGCAGATCTGGGCTTCTGGTCAGAGTACCTGGTATTGAAAGGTAGGTTACACAAGTACACACATCCTCAAGCACATGATCAAATGCTGTCTGAGACATCTTCCCTGTAAGGAGGCAGTGAAGCATTTGGGACTTTTGAGTTAAAAAAAAGAATACAACTAAGGGAATAGATTCTAGAAGTATATAAAATGATGTATCACATGCCATGGGCACCAACGTGACATCAAGCTGAGCACAGCCTATCAGCCATGCATGGCAGGCAACCAGGGGCTTCATAAACATCCTATTTTTACTGCATGCCTGGGACTGAGGTAAAAGTTGTTTGTCAGGTACCTGACAAGCTATCATCCATCACTACTGACCTGCTTCAGAAGCCATGTAGATGGTGTGGAAACACTGAGCAAGACACCAATGAAACTGGTTGGCATGAATAAATATTTTAGGATTTATATTCAGGGTAAAGGAAATATTCATTATTTCAATATGTGGCATTATTGGCTTTAAAACGTGTAGATGGCTTTACACAAAAATGGACAAATAATACATGGAAGATAGGCATATGAATGGCCAATTGGCATTAATGTTAAAACTAAAGGAGGTGTGCCTATCTGTAGGACAGAAATAAAGGGCAATAGTAAGTTCCTTTGTGCCCTCTATTTGTGAGCATCCCTGGCCAGACTAGACAGGGATGGGTGTCATATAACAATGCAGTGCTATGTTGAATCACTGATCTGGAAGAGCCAAATGTGATGCAACACTGCACATTCTGTACAATTGCTCCCTCTTCTTTCACATAATCATAGTTTATTCTATGTTTGGCAAGGCTGCTCTGATCATTTGTAGATATGGTACCCAATAAAGCATGTCCTCTCTCCTTTTAAGACTTTCCATTTATGTCCAAATGTCTAGGATGCAAACACATCCATATCAAGAAAAGTTTTCCTTGACCACTTTCATACTTCCTTGTCTGTCAACAAAGTTTCAACTTCTGAGCAGATATTTCCATTGGGAGTGATTGCATCACATTCATCAGCTGGCAAGTAACAGTGTTAGCTTTTTGACGCTGGCAAGTAGCCACAATTTGTGCTATTGCCAAACAGATCCGTCTTACTGTGAAGATATCCCTGTTTTGAAGATATCCTCTTGCCATCTATGGTCAAATCAGTAGCTATCAGTGGCAGTCCTTGCAGAAGCTTCATCTCCAGAGAGGTTTGCCAATTTATTTAATAGAATTTTACAATCAATTATTCCTTTTTTATTTCTAATTGTCTACAGTTTTGTCTCTGTAGAATTGTCTACAGTTTTGTATTTTAAGATATTTCTGTTGGCTGATTTTTATAACTCACTTTCATAGAGTCTGATGTTCTATTATTGTATTTCTAAGCCACCTTGATTGCATGAATTAGGTTGAAAAATGGGCTAAAATGTAAACTCACATGCGCATATAAGTTACAACAACAGATGATACAATTCCTTCCTTGAACGCTGAGTAAGTGTGAAAAAAATGGAATACAGAGTGGCTTAGTATAGAGTAAGATTTGTGAAGAATTCTAGCAAGAAATAATTGAGGACTTCTTGGTACGTGTGGAGCCTGGCTAACTAGCTTTTGGAAACTCCTCTGGACCTGACAGGAATAGCTCTGAGCTGCAGGTATGGGGAAGGGAACCAATCTACCTGGGTGGTGGTTCCAGGCAGATTAAATCACTATTGCTGGTAAGGGCGTGGCTGCAAGTAGAGCAGATGTCTATTTTTAAGCTCTTGTGCCTCCTACCTCTGTAACCTGGTTTAAAAAAAATCCTGAATGGCCCACAGTGCATAATGCACATGCACAACCATCCATGATTTCAGCATGTCACATTGTGTAGGCCCATGGGATGTGATACGTCATTTTATACACTTCTAGAATGTTGCCCCTTAGTTGTCTTTTTTTAAAACTCAAAATGCTTTACTGTCTCCTTACTGGGAAGATGTCTCTGGCAGCATTTGATCATGTGCTTGAGTATGTGTTGGATTGGTTGTGATTAAGATACAATTTCTTCCTTGAATGCCAATTAAATAATAAAAGATGAAATGCAGTGAAGCTTTATAGAGCAAATACGTATGTGAAGGATTCTCACAAATTGTGGTTTGTTAGCATGGCTGCATTCACATGTCACAAACCCCAGAACTCAGCAGCCCCTCTAGGTCATGCTGTGCCATGCAGCCTAGATCAGTGGGATGTTGATATAGCCTTAAACTATTTTGCAATGTATCAAATACCAACTATGACCCCATAAGTAAGATCATAACTGTATATTATTTGGTATGCTGCATAACTGAATAATCCAGCATCACTATAGTACAATATACATTTTTTGCTTGGCCAAGATGTAGGTCTAAGCAAGGAAATCTTAACATTGTTGCCATGGTGAGAAAGAAGATCCCAATAGATATGCACAACTTTTCTGGCTAGGAACTCTGAGATGCTTGCTTTTTTATATATATATCTGTCACGGCTAATTTCTCATCTTACTGAAAAAGATGTCAAAATGCAAAGTATGCTGAATCTATCCATCAGGTACATTTCACATCTCACAGACACAATCAAGTAACTTCTCAAACAATTCAAATCGTCTGCTGTCCCCTCCACCCGCAACAAAACTCTTCAATTTCCCTATTTCTAACTTTTTACTATTCGTATTATTTCCGCAATGTTGAAAAATGTTCTTAGCTTTATCCTTGGGCTTAAAGGGATGAAAAGAAAAATAGTGGAGAAAGGTGAAGAGGGGTGCAGAGGCCAAAAAATGAAACAACAAGTGTGTGTTTGTGCATTTAAATGACAGGGGTTTTTTTTTGTTTTGCTGTTTTGTTCTTTAAGAGGGCAGCTAATTGCCATGATGAGCATTATTGAATATTTGTTCAAGTAATACATATTACTGCTAAAAATCCTGAAAGGAAACACTAAATAGGAAAAAAATTATGTATTAAATGCATAACCAGTGCAGTCTTCTGCTTGCTTAATATGTTTGCTTAAGAGAGCCAGTGTGGTGTAGTGGTTAAGAAAATGGGTCTGGGGGTCAGGCAATCCAGCTGCTAGTCCCCGCTCAGCCATGGAGCCGACTGGGTGCCTTTGGGGCATTCATAGATTCTCAGCCCAGCCTGCCTCACAGGGTTGTTATTGTGGGGATACAATTGAGAACAGTGGGAAGAGAATGATGTTGGCTGCTTTGAGGTCTTTAAAAAAGGAAAAAGTGGGATATCAGTCTAATAAATAATCATAAATAAATAAGGATTCAGACCCAGGCCTTAGAAATGCTAGGTGGTTCTCCATATGCTAATCCCTAGGGGTCTTCTGTAAGTTTTGGGAGTCCTCTGGCTCAGACTTGAAAGGCAGTGGAAACTACCACGGACAGCTGGTATTTAACCTGAGTGACTTTTGTTCCTGTCCACCCTGTGAGCAATGTCCTTCCACCCTTCACACTGCACATGACTGGGTGCTGGTCCTGGATGCACATGTCCGGCTCTGCGGGAACCCCAGTGCTCTGTAACAGGAGCTTGTCCAGAAATGCTTAATGCACTGGGCAACCCACATTGCAGCAGCATGGATGAGGGAGGAAGTTTTGTGAACTCACCATCCATCACCATTGGACAACAACCAAGGGACAGTGCAGGCCATTTTGTATTGCTACTTCCAGCAGTTGGCTGGCACAGGCTTCTAAAAGCATCGGACTAGAAGCTGCTAGATGAAGCCAGTCCGTAATGCCATCTGGCGATTCAATGCATGGGCCACCCCAGTGCTTTGTTTGTCATAGAATGCACTGGGACAGAGTTCCGGCATCTTTTTTCGACAGATTTTCCAAGTTTTAAAAGTAACTTTTGAAAATTTGATGTTGGTCCACGTGGATTCGAATCACCCTGTTGGGCGTAGCAGGTTGGCGGCAAAATCATTAAAACAGTGCATGCAGGCTGCTTGTGTGTCGAATCTGATAGAAGTGTACTTTGTCTACGCTGGTTGTGATGGCGCTGCTCGGCTTGTGATTGGTCGTGTGGTCATGCACTAAGTGCTTATTGCGGGCAGCAACCGTTATGTTTTGTCACACAACTGACGTGTGTGGGTGTGTGTACAGTGATTGACTATGTGCGAGAGGTAAATAATTTCATGAGTACCGGCACCCTTTTTCTTACAAAAAAAGCACTGGGCCACCCTATGTCAACATAGGCAGGGTTTGCCTAGCAGTGCAACAACACCATCACAAATGCCACAACAGGTACGCTCACAGCTGTGTAATGAGATTTTGGTTGTTTCTAGCCAATGCATTTTAGTAAGGAATCCCTTGAAGATGATGAACTGTCCTCCATCCCCACTGTGAAGCCTGAAAATTTTAAGCACAGCAGTTGGAACAACACTCCCTGCAAACTCTACTCAAACTGGGATTCAAGAAGTTCTAGTTTCCCCATTGTTTGTTAAGTATCTTTCTCCCAGTGTATATTTGGACACTTTCAAAGCAAATGATTACACTTCTCTTTAGTAGTCACAAGTACGTAAAAATCTTTTCTGTATCAATATTATTTTTTAAAGTATACTGAACTGGATTTCTACAACAGAGAGCCATCCTTCATTATGGTTTCCACTCTCCCTTTCTTTATAAGAGGGGATGCCGGCGACTCCTGTGACATTGGGCTTTCTTACCCAGTAGAGATTTTGTTCAGAGCCTTACAGGAAATATGCATGGTACTGAACTGCATTCCCAAAATAGGTAGACCATCTTTCAAAGGTCTTTCCCAGATAGAAGCAGAGCTTACTTTCAGTATACAATGAAATGGAGACCTAAGAAATATGTGTGTGTGTGTGTGTGTGTGTGTGTGTGTGTGTGTGTGAATGTATAAAACTTAAACTTCAAAATGAGAAAGAAAAAAAGATATTCACCTCTTTTGAGTAGAATGACAGTAGCATGTCTGCGACCATATCCATTTTCAACATAGCATGAGTAATTTCCAAGGTCTCCTTCTTCAACTGAATCAAGAATTAATGAGATGGAAACTTCCTGTTCTCCAAGATGCTCCTTAAGAACTCTGGTGAAAGAAGACATTTTCTCCCATATAAAATGCTGTTTATACAATATCACATAAAAATATAAACTGATGTGATTTTTTAACAAATCAAAGCATTCTGGTTGCTTCTTCCTCTAGTCCAATGAGGACTTGGCTTTGTAGATGCTAATAAGAGCTGAAATTAACTTGACATTTGCAAGCACAACTTGATAAGATGTTTTGCACAAAATATTGCTTAAAATTTACATGCTCTTTAAAACATTTCTAGAAATCTAAAGTACACAGAAAATATTTCAACATGTTTATTATCTAATGGTTCTGATTCTGAAGAAGTGTATCTCTGCTTTTATTTGCTGTCTTGGTAAAATATATGTGTCTTTTTTACAGATAATTTATTTCCAAATATTTCTCCACTGCTCTTAGTGCAAGCATCTATCCCATAAGGAAAACTTTAACTTCACCACTAATGTTCGGCTATATCCATAAAAGAAAGAAAGCACACAGTCTGACTTAAAAGACAAGTGGTGATAACCCATCATCCCTCATGTTCCTCTCCAATGCCATGCAGTAGTGCAAATACAACATTTCTTTACACTCCCATAACCCCTGTTCAAAACTGAAGAAAGGATACTTCATGGGCCTCCCAAAACATACATGAAATGACTGACTCCAAAAAGCAGCGTGGCCATTTACTACAATCTCTGTTAAACAGTCAAATACTCCAAAAGCAGGTTTCCTTGCTGTTTGGTCTCCCCCCGCCCCCCGCCACACACACACCACTGGGCTTTGTTCGAGGTTTAGATGATGAACTGGGACCGAATGTACAATGTTATCATCTGCTTACCTGTCACAATGCATGGCCTACCTACGGCCAGGACTACAAATACTCCATAGCCTTATACCTCAGTAGCCTTCAATTATGAATAGGTAACTTCTCTCTTTAAGTAAAAGTGTCTTATGGAAACAGTTCTTCACAAGAGACCTACTAGATTAGTCTAAATGGAGAAGGTTGGGGAAAAACAGAATGGAGAAGAACCTAGTGATGCACAGTGGGTTCTTGGAATTGCCTATTTCTCTTCATCAAGGATTCTGCTGGAACCCACGCAGACACCCACACCACATGGGCATCCGTGTGGAATTCTGGGATGAAAACTGGGAGGGGAGAAACGTAAAGCCCTCCTCCCAGAGCATGCACATTTACTTTGAAGTAAATAAACCAATCATGGCTAGGGGAGCTTTGTATGATTAAAAGAAAGTTTAGTTTGGTTCTGATAATTGGCAGGGAATTTGTGTTCTAGTCCTTAGGAGCTTCTTTGGAGGCGATCCACATTCAGAAAAATACATAGCACTGTGTTCCTGGGATGCATATGCAGGTCAAGGTCCAGTGGAAATAAAGGAGTCATGACAATTTGTGGAAACTGGACAGGAAATATTTTTTGAAGCAAGGGATAGAAGAAGCTTGTATTTGGGATTCTCTTCCTGTTTCGTCATGGAAATCATTACAAAGGATTTACCTCAATTTCTTTTCCCTGTAATGGGAGAAAAAGATCGAAGAAAAGGGAGACAGAATACAAGAGAGACTCTCCACAATTATGAAAGTTCTCGCTAGCATGGGATTCCCTTTCCGATCAATTTGAGTAACATTCCTGGGCTGTTACAGTAGGTAGAAGAAGGGATGAAAAGCAAGGAAGTGCTTGGCAACTATCATCCTCATTGCATTGGATTAATACTGTGTCTTTCTTCCTTTTGCAAAGCACGCAAGCCAGCTTACAAGGTGACCATAGGTGGGCTGTTTATCTCAGTGTTCCAATGCATTGCACAGTTGCACATTTGTGGATCTACAGTCGGGATGCAAAACCTGGTGTCCTCCAGATATTCTGGACCACAAGTCCTATTAACTCCACCCAACATAAACAATGGCCAGGGATCATGTAAGATGCAGTCTAAAGCAATTGCAAGGCACTGTGGATTGCTTACCCCAACTGTAAAGAACTGAGCAATGACTGCTTAAAATAGTGATTTCCAGATAATATGAAGCCATTTTAGCTAATATCTTTTATTAGATTTCTAGATATTTTGTACCATCTCAGAATCCCAATTCTCCATTTAAAAGTAAAGACATGAATGAGCAGTTTCAGATATCATTAAGTATATGAGGGAGAATGCATTCCTGATGTAATTTCCAGTGTTTGCCCCATGGAAAAGGAAGCCTATAGTGTTTTAATTCACTTTAGTATTGTCTATTGCTTCCCTTACAGAGTGTTTTGTTTCTTATGAATAAGAGATTAATTTTGACAAAATATATACAATATCCTCTTTTTACCTAATATCACTTTCCCAAACTCGGCTTTCATCCAAATCCTCAATAAACTTTTCGCCTTTCATCCAGTACATTAAAGGGCTGACTTCACCACTGTATCCAAAGAATGCACGGCAGGTTAGATTAGCAGCATGGCCTGTTGAAGAGAATTAAGAAAATACATTATTCCAAAATTGGCAGAACTGTTGCCTTTTAAGACTGACAGCTAATGCTTTCTCATGCACACCTAAGAGCCCATTACTTGGACAACCTGAACAAAAATCACCTTTTAGAAGATTTTTTTAAACTCAATCATTTCCAGGCTATTATCAGCTACATTTTTGGAGGAAGTTGACCAACCAGTGATGAAAGAACAGAAAAAGTCAATTCCTTTAATAACAGGTATTCACAAACTGATTAATCATATGGAGTTAGCACCATGAAAGTGAGCTGGCAAAAGTGATCATCTCTGCCCATTCCTCTCCCCGCGACAAAGTCCTCTTAAAATTCTGCACAGAGTTTTGGGGAAACCTGATGAAAGGGTGAACGATGGCGTGGCAGGGAAGAGGGGTGCCTGAAAATTGTACAGAGACACCTTCTGTGAGTAGAGCTCTTTCACCTGCTGGAGGTAGATCCTGTATCCCACTCAGGAGGAGTATTTTTTCTAATTTCCTACCTTTCTTTTAGCCTTTTGGTACTCTCCATGGGGATTAAAAGAAAGGTGTGGGAATGACTGATGGCAAAAGGAGAGGGGGACAGTAGAGGATGAGGTGGCTAGATGAGTCACTAGGACAGTGGCTGTAGGCTTGGGTAGACTCTGAGGTATAGTGGCGGACAGGAGAGCCTGGAGGAATGTTGTCCATGGAGTCATGATGGGTTGGGCATGACTTTGACTGAACAACAAACAACCTTTCTTTTATCACTTATTTCAGGCAGGCTGAATAGATTTCTCAGGCAGTGTTCCCTGCAATTGCTGGCCAGAACGAAACTGCTTAACCTCAGCAAAATGGCTGCCTCATGTGCCTTTACAGCAGGCATTGCCCACCCCCTTCAAATTTTGTTTTTGTTTGTTTTTTCAATGGCATCTGCACTGACTAATGAACACCAAGCTAATTCAGACCTTTGGGACACCCTTTAGGCACTAATAACACAATTTTAATTTATTTTAGTGTGTTATAGGGGAGTGCCTCAGTCAAAACTGCCCCTGTTGCACAACATCTTCTCACATATGGTCCCAAAATTTGCAGGTCTCCTCAGTACAGAACCCAAACACCCTACAGCTGTGTCATGCAAGCAAATGCTTTACACTGTTGTTTAGCGACGAGGTTACCGGCGTGTACTAAGCACTCCTAGTACATTTGACGCCCATGTTGCTTTTCTGTGCATTTGTTTTCTGATGCCCACCCATCATGTTTTAGCATGTTTGGCTCATATAGGCTATTTACATGCTGATATTATTTTAATCACAATATGTTTCCCCGAGAGTTGATGCGAAAATATTTTAATGAGTAAAAGAAAGCCTCCATTTGTTACAGTGTATGGATAGCCTCAGTGGGTGTTTTCCAAATTTTTTTCCACCCAGCATCTTTCATCAGATGACATCTAAGAAATGTACAGACAGAGCTACCTTGACTATAGGCCAAGTTACTCCTGACTCAACATTGTGCTTCTGGCATACTGAGCCATAATAGCCTGCACTTCTTCAGCCAGCAGGAAAGCACCAACCAAGATGATGTTTATTCTTGGAGGGCTCTGTCATTTACAGGTGCATTTTAATGTGCATATGTTGATCTTTGTAAAGCTCCTGCATCAATGAGGGAAGTGGAAGGAAATGATAAAAAGCAAATCTATATAAAAAAAGGGCTCTTCTCATTAAATTCTTAGGAATCTCTCCCTCCTGAATGAAATATTTACACATATTTTTAAAACACAGAATTCAAAGTTTCTGTTCAGCATGAAATATTTACACGTTGGAAATAAATTAGACGAGAATCACCATCTCCTAGTAATACTGCACAGATTACTGCTGAGCAAGGGACATTAATATGCCAGGTGTTCTGCTATAAATTAATACTGAGACTGCGGCTGCTATATAATCTATACTTTCCAGCTTGGCTGAGCCTAACAGTGAGCTATTGGGAAGGTCGGTGGTGGGTCATGTGAGCAGAATCTTTGTGACTAGCTACTACCGTTGTTACTAATGTCCTTGTTTGCTACTTTGAGCTAAGCAAAAAGCACAGAGGATATTGGCTCTTGTTTACTTTCGGAAGAATGCTTGCTTCTTACTATCTGAACCTACCCATGTTTGCTCACAAGTAATGCAGTAATGCAGCTACAGGATTTTGCAAGCACCCATGTCCCACATTAGTTGTTCTTAAGATACAAGGGCTGCAATCTTTTGAACAGGCAGAAATGTTTGCCCATTTTCTACCATGGAATCTAAAGTTTGCATCTGCATCAGTCTTTCACTGCATTGAAGGTCACATGTAGAAATCAAAGCTAAATAAAAATATCATTTGACTGACCTGTGCAGGGAGAAGGACAGGGAGAGTGCGTCCCTGTTGGTTCTCCTGGACCTCTCAGCGGCTTTCGATACCATCAACCATGGTATCCTTCTGGATAGGCTAGCGGGATTGGGGGTCGGAGGCACTGCTTTGCAGTGGTTCCGCTCCTATCTCAATGGCCGGTTCCAGAAGGTGGTGCTGGGGGACTATGGCTCTGCACCATGGCAGCTATGCCATGGAGCACCTCAGGGGTCCATTTTGTCCCCTTTGCTGTTTAACATCTACATGAAACCACTGGGAGAGGTCATCAGGAGGTGTGGGCTGAGGAATCATCAGTACGCTGATGATACCCAGCTCTACCTCTCGTTTTCCACTAATCCAGGTGAGGCAGTGGCTGTACTGAACCGGTGCCTGGCCGAGGTAATGGGCTGGATGAGGTCCAACAAACTGAAGCTCAATCCAGACAAGACGGAGGTCCTGTTGGTTGGCAGATCAGGCTTCGGAGAGGGTGAATTAAACCTAGTCCTGAATGGGGTTGCACTCCCTCTTAGGAACAAGGTCCGCAGCCTGGGAGTGCTCCTCGACCCGGAGCTTTCATTGGAAGCTCAGGTGACAGCAGTGGCGAGGAGCGCTTTCCTTCAGCTTCGGATGATTCATCAGCTGTGCCCCTACCTGGAGTACGACTGCCTGGCGACAGTGACACACGAGCTGGTGACTTCCCACCTTGACTTCTGTAACGTGCTCTATGTGGGGCTACCCTTGAAGATGGTCTGGATACTTCAATTGCTTCAAAATAGAGCTGCCAGGCTGCTGACGGGGACGGGGCGTTATGTTCACATGACTCCAGTCCTCCGTCAGCTTCACTGGCTTCCCATTGAAGTCCGGGCCCAATTCAAGGTGTTGGTGATGACCTATAAAGCCCTAAATGGCTTGGGTCCTCGTTACCTGAAGGTGTGCTTACATCCATATACGCCCGCCCACCCGCCCCTTGAGATCTGCGGGAGAGGCCCTTCTCCGGGAACCCTCTGTGAAAGAAATTAGGAGGGTAGGTACTCGGAGGAGGGCTTTCTCTGCGGTGGCACCCAATTTATGGAATGCGCTCCCCAGAGAGGTCCGCCTGGCGCCGTCGTTATTTGTTTTTCGGCGCCAGGCAAAGACCTTTTTATTTAAGTGTCATTTTAATTGTTAATATTATTTGCTTATTTTATCTGGCCAGGGCGACTTATTTTATATTGTTCTTTCTTGTATTTTAATTTAATGTTGTGAGCCACCCCGAGGCTTCAGCGAATGGGGCGGCATAGAAATGTTTTAATAAATAAATAAATAAACAAATAAGTGGAAGATGTGTAGTAAGTTTGAGGAAGCCTGGGCTTTCAGATGGAGAGTGTTAACTTCCTGCTTAAGATTCCTTGCAGGTTCAAGATTAGGTCTCTACACATAGGACATTTTCCATTTTTGCCTTGTTTTATGTGCTGCAATGTAACCTCTAGGTGGCACTGAGGTGTGGTAGAACGAAGCAGAATAATGCACCCGCACTGGGAGAAAGTTGCCTTTATTTCACAATTCAGAAAAGGCCACATTTCCTCCCTTCATTGACACAAACTGTTGGAAAGCAGGAGGACTGGAGAATGATGCCACCATCTAAAGTACTCCTAAACTAGCATGAAGAATGGCAAGCCCACTAGAAAAGCCATATTTAGAAAAGTCCTATGTGCTGTATGAAGAAGTGTCCAGATTCTCCCACCATTTAGCCCACTGGTTCCAGTATTATAAAACTGGGCATTTGCCATTGTGAGTTTCAAAATAACATTCAAATGTCTGTCTTGGGGAAAGGGGTTATCCTGTCCTTCATTTCAGGTAGCAAAATTTCTTGGGTGAGCCAAGCCCTGATTTAGCAGTCTTGATGTGACAGTTTTCTTATGTGGGTTTAAGATAATAAGCACCACTTCTTGCCTTCATTTGTACAGTTCAGAGTAACCTGTTAGCTTTATGCAGCCATGCTTCAGCTCTTGGCCATTGGGTTGGTCTTTTCATGCATTCAGCATGACGAATTTAGCTGATGTGGACAGCCATCCTGGGGGTTCATTTAAAGGTCAAGATGTTCCTATAATAAATAATCACCGTTTTAATTGCACAACTGGCAACTTAGGTGTGGGTATAAAAAGGAGGAGAGCAAAGAGCAGGATATGCACTTCCTTAAAGTGTGGGCAGAGAGACTTGCCAGTCTTCATGCTTTCTTCTTCTTTGCCAGAAGAAAGCTAGCAACAGGACCTGCTTTCCTCTCAGGATCAGCTGAGCATACATTGACTGGGAGACAACATTTGGATCTCCTTTCGTTTACTGTATTCCAGTCATTACTGTAGGGTTTTTTTCAAGTGTGATTCTCACTTTAGTCCATTTAAAAGACTAACTGGGTTCATACCAGCATGTGGGAGCAAGCCTGGAAACTGAAGATGTGATGCAGCTGCCATGTGTTCCCTGCACTGAAATATGTACCTGCTGCGAAATAGACATTTCCCTTTCCTGATTTTCCACCCTCATGCCCACATATGGAAAATCAAGAGGTCCTACTTTCTTTATCCACAATGCAACTCTCAATGCAATCCTATGCATATTGACTTAGAAGCAGATTCCAATGTGTTCAGTGGGGCTT